TATTTTAATAAATTAATTTAAATTTAATTAAATATTTTAAAAAAAATTAATTCAATGAATGAATGGTAATAAACTTAAAAATATTTTGAAATATACTTTAATCATAAAATTAATTTTGTAAATTTACTATCTTTTCTATCTATTTATTAATATTTTTATTTTATTTAAAATAACCTACGATGTTATGAAACAGAAAATGTATCTTTCATGTGCTATAATAAGATACTTATCCCATATTCTCATCATTAGTCATAAGTTGATTGATTATTTGGGCCTTATAATTGGAGATAAGTTGATTATGTATGCCTCAACATTAGAGCTAATTTATTATTCATTGATAATGATCATGATTCTAAGATTCTCGATATCCACTTTATCAATTTAATTGGGCCTATGTAGTGAATGAACGGCCTAACAAGCAATTTCAAACTTAGGCTGAGGTCCGAAACTCATTTATAACAATATTCATATGATGTTATATTTTGTTTATTTGTCAAATAATAATTGTCAGTGTAGAAATATTTGCATTCACTTTTCTTTGGCATGTAAAAGAAGATGATGTACAATTTAAGATACCATTAGTATGGCATCAAAAACTTATATTTATTTATCCTGTGCCCTTTTCATTTTAATGTTTTGTTTTAATTTTAATTATGTTTCTATGATTTAATTGTGCTACTAATGACAGGTTCACATGATCAAAATAGGCAACAAATATTATTGGAATAAAAAATATTTTTTTAACAAAAACTACAAACAACAGTCACTGTAGTCATAAGGATTAAAAATATATTTAAATTTATTAATTTTAATTTTAAAACATTTCTTTATGATAAAATATTAGTAATCATTACTAAAATTTCTTATTAGATACAGACTTTTCTTTTTAGTTTATGAGAAATATCTTTGTAGATATTAATTTCCTGTAGAGTATTTTTTAGTAAATATAGCATGGAAATTTAGTTTACAAGAAATAGCTTTTTATGAGAAGGAACACATAGAAATGGTCAAAGCTCTCTCTGCTTGTTACTTAATTCCAATTTAAACCAAAGCAAAAAAGGAATGTGGTTACCAAATTCAAGGGCAACACTTATGGTACTCCTGGTGATTCAATAACATGCATCAAATCAATAATAGAAAAAGCAAAACATGTATTGATACTAGCGAGCAAGGGTTTTTTATTTTGAGAAATTGAGGAAAATTGAATCAAAACTAGAAGAGAATTTTCCATTTTGAAACGACCAAGGTCAATGTTTTGAATGAAAACCTATAAAAAATTATAAAATAAAATAAAAAGCATAGAATCTTTAAGAATTTTATCAAGGAAATATAAAAAAGAAAAAATTAAAATTAAAAGTGGAATGTTATTCAAAGTGGGTGGGTGGTATGGCCCTGACACCACATTAAGAAATATGATTTTTAAAGAGAGAAAAAGACATAATTCTATGTAGAAATAAAATGTTATTTGATTTAGAATATGTTTAGATTCAAATTAAAAATATTTTTGAAAGTTTTTTATTAAAAATAGATAGTTATTTTCAATATAAAAAAATTCTAAAAAATAACGAAGCATCAATTTTGACATGGATACCTGACACAGACATCAAGACATGATTACAATGTAAAATTTTGGACATGAAGACACAACATATATATAAGTTTTACAATTTTTATATGATAATGACCCTTAAAAGTGTTAAGGCAATGAGTTTTATCATAAATAAAAAAACTTAAGAGTCTTGCAATATTTATAAATAGGCTTAGGCTTAAATATATTTTTAGTGTCTCAAAGTTAAAATTGATCTTTTTAACTCTTGTAATTATTGGTAATCTGAAGGAGTAAAATAATGTTTTTAAAAATTATAAAGACTAAAAATAATAATTTTAAAATTAAAGGACCAAAAACTAATTTATCATAAATTTAAAATATTAAAAACATATTTAAATCTTATAAATAAATTAACATTTTAATTTTTTTTATAATAGAAGTGTTAGATAAGTGTTTAATTAAGAGTGGGAATTGTCTAACTCTCTTAGTTCGTATTCAAGTTTTGTAAATGTTAAAATTACGTCAAAGAGATTTTTAAATAAAAATAATAATAATTTTTATTTATGACATGATATAAATTTATCAAATTGTCTAATAAATATCACGTCAAAATCGTGTCAAACCCGTCAATACAACATTCTATAAATATGATGTATCGAAGTTTAAAAACGCTTCAAAATAATTCTTTCCTTGTCATTGGATAGGATCAAACTGTCAAGTTACATATATAAAGAAAATGAGTTTATATAAAAATATTCTGACAATGTAGAATTCATCCCATTATAGATTTACATGTTAAGATTATTAACTTTTCTATAAACTACTTTAAAAATCATATCTAAAATAATTTCTAATTAGTTGATGACAAAATTATATCGAAAATGCATGAAAATTAAACTAGAAAAAAACACTACATGATTTTCTTAAAGAATCCTTAAATTTTGTTGAGAAGCATCAAATCATTAATGAGTAAATTATATATGTTAGACTAACTTAAAACTGATATTATTTACTACCATTGGAATATGCTATATACTCATTCGCCATTTTAGAAACATTAGTACTATTGTAATTACATTTTTTTAAAATAAAAGTTTATAACAATTAGCTTATTTAAAAAAGTAAAAATCTCAAGAAACGATTTTAGAACTTCATAAAATAAACTAAGTTAGCTTTAAAATAATTATAAAATATAAGATTTTTTCTTTTCTAACCAGTCTAAATAACCCAAAAATCCATTGTGTTGTTCCCAAAAACAATCATTTATCTTTAAATATGGATTACACATTGGACACTCGAGACATTTAAGACGAGAGCAAAATTTCTCTTTAGATAACTTTTCATTGCTAACCCTGTTTTCATTGCTAACCCTGTTTTCATTGCTAGTACACAATTTTGTCAACATGCTAATTATTATAATCCTAAAGTGAAAATTTCCCTGCAAGTTGGCAATCCCAATCTTCCACTAAAAAACATAGTAAGCAATGAGTGCCAACAGCACTAACACAATCCTTTTACACGAGTTAACACAAATGAGACAAGTATATTCTTATAATCTCACAATTTTTAATTAGTTTTAGCCAACAATAGTGTATTAAAAAAATAGTATATTGGTAACACTTATCAGTCATCCAAGTCAACCACCAGCGTAGGCTGAAGTGACACTGGCTCTACGGTTCCTAGTCTTAGCACAGGAATCATTTGATTTACCGAGGTAGGCATGAAAAAATGGCCTTCAAGAGTAAAAAGAAAGAAAAACTAAGGAATAATAGCAAATCACTGAGAACAATACACTGATTGTAACATACATTCAACTTGTCAAAACAAACAGGTTCCTATAAGATTACAGACTCCACAATTACTAATATGCATGGTAGCTTCATAAGGAATTATAGTAGAAACAAATGTAACACAAACAAAAGACAAAGACACTATTCAGGGACTTGTAATCATAGACAACATCTTAAATAGCAGTTAACCATCAAAACCCGGTATTCAGTCATTTATACCATAGTTCTCCTTGCACAACCTTCTCATATCCAGCAACTTTACCGTAGTAGACAAAACGCAGTCAACAGTTCCAATACCATCTAGCTCCTGCTCTTGGATTTTTCCATGGCCCTGGGAGCTGCAAAGAAAGGAAAAATTACCTTAGCAAATTTGAGCAAATTAACTGGTGTTAATAGGCACATTATCGGTGTAGTGAATATAGAAATTGAATTGAGACTTTGCTGATTAGAGCGAGTAAGACGGGAAGGGGTACATTGCAGGCATACACTACAATAATAGTTTCCTTGAGTTACAATTTACAAGGAAACAAACTGTACAGGTAATCCAAAAGAGTCAATTGCAGATATAAACTAGATACTTTCGATCATAGTTTCCTTGTGTTACATGTTAGATGCAAACTCATTCTAGCTCATCTTCAAATTCAAATCTTATACATTGAATGGATAACTTGCGAATTGGCATTATGTTTCAACATAATAATTGTTAAAATTTGCGTAGCTACACCTTATATCAACCATCAAGTATATGTTGTATATTACTACTAGTATTTCTAGATTTTAAGCACTAGCTTAATGATTAATTTGAAGAAAACCAAGCACAAAACAATATACTAATAAATCAAACAGGTATCATCCTGCAAAGAATGCAAGAAAATTTTTATCCTTATATTATCCCCATGTGGATTCAAAATAACCCTCCATGATCATAATCTACTGACTAGTAGATTCAACAGTCTCATTTAAATGCATCATCGGTACTGCTGCCTATTAGCCCTGCGTCGCTACTGTTTGATTTACAAAACAGAGGCTCCCAGTCCATCAATTCAAGTAATGGTTTTCAAGTGACAAGTATGGCAGCTGCAAAATGAATTCGTCGAGAATACATACCTAAGCCAATGGCATCAGAACCCTTCATGATTTTCAGCCTTTTGCATGTGTCAATGAACATACTGCAAACAAAAGAAAAATTACAGTTAATAAGATGCAAGCTGGAGTGAAGTGAAACAGCAATCGAATGACTACATTCCATCAGTCTTCCAGTTGACAGTTTCTTGGTACAATTAGTAGTAATTTGCTACACTTGATACCCACGTAGTACTTTTGATTATCATTTTATGTAAAATACATAAAACCTTCCCAAATTCAGGAATGATATATAATAAAACAATATTTTGGACTTTCAGTTGAACATGTAATTGTAAAAAAAAAAAAAAAAAAAAAAAAGTAACAGTAGCAGCGTAGCACTTTTGTATGGCTTGAACAATCGTGATTTTGACAGGGCTGATGGAAGCAATACTTGTTTACTAATGCGATATAATGTTCAAGCAACTACTATGTTCTTCTATAGTATCTATTCTGCTTTATATGTATGTCTACAATACTTTACAAGTAGGAAGTAGTAACCAAGAAAACTGATTTTTTTGGGTGGAAATTGCTTATCATTTGTGGCATTGTTGGCAATATATTGCACATTACACTGATTAAAGAAAAACTGTGGCTTTATAAATTTGCTGAGGCACCTAGCCCTTTTGTTTTAGAAACAAATATAATTATTATAGAAAGAATAAAGCCAGAAATTGAGAACACAAAAACTTACTCCCATGGTACATCTCCTACAAGCATCCAGTCACCATCTTTATCCTCATAGGTGAGTACATATTCTGAACCATGCAGGAGGTCCTTCAGCTTGCTCTCACTCAACATTTCTCTTCCCGGAGCTCCATGGGAACCACATTGACCTGGTATGGTACACGCCATAAGTCCATCCAAAAGATACATTTTAGAATTAAAAATATAAAATAGTGACCAGAAAATTTCATCAGAATCAATAGCAATAAATAATTAGTTAAAACAAAGCAAGGCTGAGGCTGTAACAGATCACCTAGAGTGAAACAGCTGAACATCTTCTCAAGGGAAGAAGAGAGCTCCTGGTATGTTGTATAATTTCTTAGATCTACCTTCCTCAGATAAGGAGCACCATCCATGCTGACCTTCACAAAGAGTGCAGCTGGACCCGGTTTTCCATCTACTTCATCATTGTTCTTTGAAGTGGTTGCCAAAGAGTTTTTCCTAAATGATCTTATAGGAGGCCAACCAACAACCTGTGCCCTGTCATAGATATGGACTAATTAGCATAACTAGAAATGTTGTTAGTCCCCTTGTATGGTATTATGTACAACTTCTAGATTCTCCTGAAGATCATAGATCTAGCCAGTTTGACTTACTTAGAAGCAGGAGGTGCACTGCCACTGATGGAAGCTCCGGTATGGTTATGACCAGTTCCATTTGCTGCAGAAGGCCTTTCTTGTAACACCTTGCTTGGAATTTCTTTCACTATGGTCAGCTGAGCTCCAGAAGGTTTAGGAGATAGCATTATGTTTATCCCTGCATTGCCAGGAAACTTCCCCAAACACCACATATTGTGGAGAATCAAACTCAAAATCTGTATGAGATATTCATTTAACCACAATAAAAGGAAAAAGGAATTCACCTCAGGGTCCATAGTATCAGCAAAACCTCTTTTGCTTCCTGAAACCACAGGTTTTTGGGACAATGAGCAGATTCCATCTTTTGTAGGAAGCAAAGGAAACAGTGGCTTCTCATCAAGTTTTGCTGAATTCAGTGAGAAAAGACCCGGATCCCTATCGGGTGACTGGGATCCAGGAAGGCCCAGTCTCAACTCAGTGGCCTTCAAATTCAGGTTCTTTTTCTCAGCAGACAAGCTTGGGACAGTAGAACTGTCCACAGAAGAGCAATCTGACAATCCGAGGTAATTGCGTTCTTTCAATCTTGCCTCATTTGGTGAGAAACAGTCCAAGGATTGTGAAGATGCAGTTGCTACCATTGAGGCATTGCTCTGCCCTTCATCTTCGGTAACCAGCAGTGGCGGAGACATCAGACTCCAAATTTACGAACTGTCTTTCACAAAACCACAATCCACTCAACATATTGGCAGAAAGAAATGCAACAAATAACAAAACAACAAAAGATAGAGAAAAATTGAGTTCCAACACTCCATTAAGTAAAAGCATAGTCATCATTTTCATCTAACTAGAGACCAATTATTGGCTTGCAAACATAAGAAAAAAATGATTAATCTGGATTAATAAGAACGTGGTTCCCTCCTTCAGCACCTGATTTTATTTGGAAGATTTGTCAGAGGAACCATTACACACAATCAAACATAAGTTTTGTATAATTACTCCACTCCGTATCATTTTACAGAATGTGGATTCAACGGATCTAAATCTTTAATCAAATGATATATTATGTTGATGATTGTGCTGGTGCATACCAAATGTTACACAATCAAATACTCCTTGTGTGTTATCTTTCAGTAAACATTTACTTATTGTAGAAAGCATACTGTCTGTTAAAATAAAGTTGATGAAATTTTGATGGTCACAAAATGTATTAAATGGAATAAGTTTCACAAAACTTGACCTTCAGTGAACGGATCATAATCATATACACAACCAGGTATCAAACTTAGTAAAACGACACTTTTAGTAGCTCTTTTTAAAGTTTTACAACTAGTAAATTTTATCAATCCAACCATGCAACATTATCGTGAAGATCATGTACATTAAATTTTATATGATTTAGACATTTGCAGATGTGTAGTCAACTAGTAGTTATCTACTTTTATTTTTAATAACATATTACATGATAAAATAAAGTTATAAAGTATCAATCTTTTTATTAAATTTTGTAGAGTTGATCTACTTCATAAAAACTTTAAATTCCAAATTGATAAAAAGTTATTGGAGGTGTCATTTTATCCAGTTTGATACCTAGTGTCATTCGATCCTCTATTTATACGTGTGTATCAAATGAGAATTCCATTAGTAGGGAATTTCAATAGCAATGAAACATAAGAAATTGCTGCAAAGTGCCAAAAGAAATTCTGGACAAGGCAAAACAAGAAATAACAAACACGCATTTTTTTTAAAAGTCGTGCAATTGGAAAATTAAATTCAAACACAAAATGTTATTTCAGTAATTAAAGGACAGCAATGGTAATTATTCCCACAATTAACTGAAAAGTCAATTTTACACACACACCCCAAAAAAAAGAAAAAAAAAAGTGACCCCTCCTCCATCATAACCCATCACATGAGCTGCATGACAACCCCAAAGAAAGGGGGAAACGAAAACCCCAAGAAAATTTGTAATTTCTTATTAAAAAAAAAACTCCAGAAGAAGCCAACTAAGCATATTGATCACAGTTAATAGCACCGGATTATTCAATAAATGGGGGAAAAAAGATAAAAAAAAGTTGAAAATTTGTAGACTAAGACCATAGTCAACCAATCATTTTGCTCTTTTTTATTTTATTTTTCCTAGGACTCTTATTCATATTTCCTACCAATACAAAAGGGGTAGGTAAACGAATAGCTGAGAAATTAAAACAAAAACATATAAAGCAAAACACAAAAGGAAAAAGAGTGCATCTGTTAAAACAGATCCACACCAACCCCAAACCTTCCAAAAGAATTTCCTTTTTTCCAAAAAAAAAAAAAAAGTAATAAAACCCAGAACCAGCAAAAGGAGAGAAACCAAAATCTAAAAAAATTATAAATAAATAAAAAACATAAAAGGGTCACATTCTATCTGAAACCAGAAACAAACACAAACACAGAGCAAAAGAATGAAGCAGTGACGCACCTGAGGAAGTTGAGAGAGTGAAGAAGAGAGGTTAGTGAGTGTGAGAGTGAAACCTAAAGAGCGGAGACAGAGAAAGAAGGAAAAGCTCAAGGGCCTTCCATTAAGCACAAAGCAACAAAAGCTTTGGAGAGTGCATAGTGCACACAAACACACAAAATAAATGAAGCCTTCTATTACCATAAATTATTATAAAATATATATATCAAAAAAGTAGACAGCGGCCAAAAAGCCAACAGCTCCTGTCGCCAACCTATTTGTTTAATTAATATTTTTATTATTAAATACTCACAATCACACTTTCCTTTTCAATATTTAAAGAATAAATAATATAAATCCCAATTTTCACACGTTTATTTAATAACAAATTCTCAAAATATTCCAAATACGTGCCTTGGCGTTTATGATGGTATTATCAATTCGAGCCTGTTTCTAATAAAAAAATATGTATATATATTAGCAAATTATCATATGATAATTTTGGTATAAAAAATATTTATTATTTTAAAGTTATATCAACTGTAAGTTTTAATTAATTAATAATGTAAACATTACATTAAGTCATTAATTTTGAATAAAATTTAAACCATATTTTTGAACCTGATAGTTAATAATTTAATCATAACTAAATTGATGTGAAATTAGTAATAGTTATATGTATATATATATAGTATTATATAATTTATTAAGCAATAAATTAGTGTGATATTATAAAAAAAATTGTTAAATTAATATTTCAATGAACATAAAGGATCATATTATATTCCTTATAAAATAAAATAAAATAATTAATTAAATAATGACACTTCATACATAATGGTGATATATAATCTCTTTATTTAAAATTAAAAATTCATAAGTAGAAAACACAAAATATTCGATTTAAACTAAAAAAAATTTATTGGTTCTTGTGAATTGTAACAATTGATTTTTTACTTGATCAATTTTTCAAGTTAGATGGACTGCATCAAAATAATCAATTTGATTTTGTTTTTAAAACTATAAATTTTGTATCTTTATTTCTATAACCAATTAATGACTATTTGTAAATAATAAAACATTTGAGTTATTTTTATTTAACATTAAGTGAAATGGAATAAAAGGAAATTGGCTGTAATTAATGTAATAGAATAAATTTATTATTTTATTTTTCTGCATAATTTTGTAATAGAATGGGGAAGAAGAATCACACACCCTATGTTAGAAAGAAGAAGAGATGAAAAGGAAAGAGAGAAAAATAAGAGAGAAGGAGGGGGAAAAATACGAGAGATAAGAGAAATAAAATAGATAAAAGTTAAAGAAGAAAAAATAAAAATTAAGAAATTTATTTCCATGTAATGTGTGTAAAATCATGCGCATTTATGTGAACTCATGCAACACGATAATATGAAAATATGTGTTTTGAAGTACACATATATATGAGCTTGACTAGGAAAGTTACGAAGGATTGTTGAATTCAAGCCTTTGAATGTTACTTGTAACACCTTCTACCCCTTATACATACATACATAAGATAGAAATTAAATAAAAATTATGATATTTTTAGAAAATAAAATCACAAATGGATCGAAGACTTCTTGTTCTTAAATCAAAATTCAAGTCCAACTTAAATTAAAAAAATTAAAAAAAGACATAAAATAGTAATGTAAGTTAATAAGTACTCCAACATGTCTCTTTCCCCTCCCCATTTTTTAAACTTGTGTATTTATGTGAACTAATGCAACACGATAATATGAAAAGATGTGTTTTGAAGTACACATATATATGAGCTTGACTAAGAAAGCTACGAAGGATTGTTGAATTCAAGCCTTTGAATGTTACTTGTAACACCTTCTACCCCTTATACATACATACATATGATAGAAATTAAATAAAATCTATGATATTTTTAGAAAACAAAATCACAAATGGATCGAAGACATCTTGTTCTTAAATCAAAATTCAAGTCCAACTTAAATAAAAAAAATAAAAAAAGACATAAAATAGTAATGTAAGTTAATAAGTACTCCAACATGTCTCTTTCCCCTCCCCATTTTTTAAACTTTTGTATTTACTTGGACTTAATTTAGGATCGATCTCCCTAATTTTTTTTAACATAATATAAGCCCATTAGTCAAGTAAAAAGTGTCGTTAGTTATAAGACCAATGCTAAACTAAAATAGCCCACTTAATTCCTATTAAAAAATAAATATCTTAAAGGGTTAAAAAGGAGAATTACTTTATGACTCATGAGTGTTACTATGTGAGTAACTCCATGTGCACTTTTCGCAAGTCGTAAGTCATAAGACACATAAAGTGTTCTAAATTTAAAAATATACTTCACATCAAACTTAGAAAGAAATCTTGCATATTTTTCTCTAGAAAAGTGAGAAGTCACATTTGCAAAGAAATTAAAGATTATAAATTCTGTAAAATTGTTGATGAAGCACATGATGAATAATAAAAAGGAGCGAATGACTAATGTTTTGAGATTTATTACATAGTCGATGGATTAATTTATTCTCAAAAGGGATACTGATGTTGCTTATGATATTTTGTCTTAATTTGAGTACACAATGATTTTACTAATGATGAAAGATTATGGGGATTACTAATTGTCTTTTACAAACTTTGCAATGACAATATGAAGATATACTTAACACTATGTAACTAGTTTGTTCCACTAAAATGTTGATTCAAAAGTTAGAAAGCTTTGTTAAAGGATGTGATAATGTTTTGTGAGCAGCATGACATTGATATTCCTAATTTTAATTCTACTTATGTAGCACATCATGGTCATTCTCGACATCAATAAGATCATATCACAATATAACATTAGTTAACATATTTTTTCATTACAATGGATAAGTATTTGCAAGAATTAAATGACAAGTTTAATGAGCAACCAATAGAACTTTTAACTTTAAGCTTTGCTTTAGTTCTTAAGGATGCTTATAGAGCTTCTACCATTTATAGTATATGCACTCCTGTGAACAAACTTTATTCTTTGGGTCTTTTTTGAACCAAAGAAGATTAGTTTGAAAGTTAAACTTCAAGATTTTATTGTTAATGCTCATAACCACTCAAATTTAAAGAATTTATCCACTATAATTAAATTATGTTAATCTTTGACAAGAACATGAAAGTTAAATATATTTTATTTAATTGATCTATTAATCATCTTATTTTAACTCTTTCTACAAGTACAACAGAAAAATCATTTTTACCAATAAAAATCATCAACAATAAAAAATAAATAACTAAAAACTCTAGTTTTAATTCAATTATTGATGAGTTCAAGTATTTAAAAGAATGAATAGCAATACTTTAAGTAGATAATATTATTGTTTTTTTATATTTATAATTATATTGCCTTATGTACTCACCTTTGTCTTATTGATAATGATAATATATATGAGTACAAATTAATTCAATTACATGTAACTTTAAATTTTGAGTACATTAATATTTTTTACTATTTATATCCCTTCCCCCAAAATAATTGGTCAAGCTCCATCATTACCAAAGGTCATACTAAAATTAAAAACCAAAATTTAAAACCAAACATCTACAAACATATATAAGCTGCAGAAACATATATAAGAGAAATCTAAGCCTTGATGTCACAATCTAATAAGAGCAAAGAAACTTAAACAAAAACATAACTGGAGGTCTAAGCCTAATTTTTTTAAATAATTTTTAGATATATTTTTTACTAAATTATACATTTTATTCCTTTATTTATTTTTAGAATTCAATTTGGTCCCATTATTTTTAAATAGTTCAATCTAGTCTTATAATTTTGTAAAATATTTAATTTTGTCCTTCCATCTAAATTGACATTAATGTCATTAATAAAATCAACCGAAAGGGTAACATAGAATATTTTTACAAAATTAAAAGATCAACTTGAACCATTTAAAAATAACAAGACCAATTAAACATTTCAAAAATAGAGAGACCGAATTAAATAATTTATTTATTATTTTTTAGATAAATTTGAATTTTTTTGTTACCTATTTAATATTTTTTATTTGATAACTCCTTGTTATTTTTGTATTTTTTTAATTTTAAGTACTTAAATTTTTTTGTAATTTTGTTAAGATAATTAAATTTATTTTTATGAATTTTATTCAATTTTAATTATTTTCTTTAAAATTGAATTGGACCATTCAATTTAATTGGTCCAATCGAAAATTAATGTAATGATTTGTCCATTTATTTAATATTTTGGCTTTGTCAATTAATCTAAAATCAATTAAAAAAACTAATAAATTTTAATAAAAAAATAGTTTTTATTTATAAAATTGTTTTAATTTAAGATAAAATAATTTTAAGATAAATGAAAACACTTATTTTAATATCACACATATGTATAAAATTATTTTGATAACTATTATTACTCTTCAATTTGGTCTCTCTGTTTTAAAATATTTAATTTGATTTCATTATTTTTAAAATATTTTATTTAATCTTCTAATTTTAAAATAATATTTAATCTTTTATCTGATTTCATTAAAATTATTAGTGTTAATTTGGACAAAAAGATGATATTAAATATCATTTTAAGAATTAAAACACCAATTAAACTATTGAAAAAATAGTGTAATCAATTAAATTTTAAAAATAAATAAAGGAATAAAAATATAATTTAACCTATACTTTTTTTTATATATAATTAGAAGATATCTGGAGTTTCTATTTGACACCCACCTGATTTTTCTTTTAACTAAATTAATTTATCTAAGAGTAAAGTGATATCACCCATCATAACTATTTTTAACCCAAAAATAAAATTTTGTTACTTAATTAAGCTATATAAGGTCAATTACCTATGTTGTACATCTCTATCTTAATGTTCAATATTTACTCTTAAATTAAAACATTCATCGTTCACACTGTTTAATTTAATAAAGATAGTGTTGAAATAGTTGGGAGAGCAGAGAAATAGAGATAGAAAAATAAGTTTTCTTATTTGTTTTGTAAAAAATTGTAAAAGGTGATAGATTCCACTCTTTTTTTTTTTTTTTTTTTTTTTTTTTTTT